TAAATTTTGAAGTTAGTTAATATTTCTTTAAATTACTCCTTTACAAATAGAAGCCAACAAATCGTTGACATCCGTATCCGAAACCATTCCAGTAATGGGGTTCCCAATGTGGCAACAGCAGCGAATGGAAACCCCCGGTGCCCAAGAGCCACGAGGAGAATGAACGCGATTTGCAACGAGGACACCCGGAGGCGAAGCAGAGGGAGAGCGGGAGAGCGGAAGTGGAGAGCGGAGTGGAGAGCGGAGTGAGAGCGGAGTGAGAGCGGAGTGAGAGCGGAGTGAGAGCGGAGTGAGAGCGGAGTGGAGAGCGGAGTTGAGAGCGGATGAGAGCGCGGGAGTGAGAGCGAGCGAGTGAGAGGGAGTGAGAGCGGAGTGAGAGCGGAGTGAGAGCGGAGTGAGAGCGGAGTGAGAGCGAGTGAGAGCGGAGTGAGAGCGGAGTGAGAGCGAGGAGAGCGGAGGCTGCAGGAGCGGAGTGAGAGCGGAGTGAGAGCGGAGTGAGAGCGGAGTGAGAGCGGAGTGAGAGCGGAGTGAGAGCCGGAGTGAGAGCGGATTGAGAGCGGCAGTGAGAGCGGAGTGAGAGCGGGAGTGAGAGCGAGTGAGAGCGGAGAAGTGAGAGCGGAGTGAGAGCGGAGGGAGAGCGGAGGGGAGAGCGGAGGGAGAGCGGAGGGCAGAGCGGAGGGAGAGCGGAGGGAGAGCGGAGGGAGAGCGGAGGAGAAGCGGAGGGAGAGCGGAGGGAGCAAGCGGAGGGAGAGCGGAGGGAGAGCGGAGGGAGAGCGGAGGGAGAGCGGAGGCGAGAGAGCGGCGGGAGAGACGGCGGGAAACGGCGGGAGAGCGGCGGGAAAGCGGCGGGAGAGCGGCGGGAGAGCGCGGGAGAGCGGAAGCGGGGGAGAGCGGCGGAGAGCGGCGGGAGAGCGGGGCGAAGCGGGGAGAGCGGCGGGAGAGCGGCGCGGGAGAGCGGCGGAGAGCGGCGGGGAGAGCGCGGGGAGAGCGCGGCAGAGCGGCGGGAGAGCGCGGGAGAGCGGCGGAGAGCGCGGGGAGACGGGCGGGAGAGCGGCGGCGAGAGCGGCGAGAGCGGCGGGAGAGCGGAGGCGGCGGTGAGAGCGGCGGGGAGAGCGGCCGGGGAGAGCGGCGGAGAGAGCGGCGGGAAGAGCGGCGGGACGAGAGCGGCGAGAGCGCAGCGGGAGAGCGGCGGGAGAGCGGCGGGAGAGCGCGGGAGAGCGGCGGGAGACCGGCGGAGAAGCGGCGCGGAGAGCGGCGGGGACGGCGAGAGCGGGGAGAGCGGGTTGGGAGAGCGGGTGGGAGAGCGGTGGTGCGGAGAGCGCGGGAAGCGGCGGAGAAGCGGAGGGAGCCGAAGGTCGCGCGTGGGAGGTCTGCGGAGGGGCGGAAGGCGCGGCTTCGCGATCCGCCGCAAAGACCAACTTTAAATTAAGGGGGCTTTGTTATGTGGGTTAAGTGGCTGCGGTGGCCTGCGCCAATTATCAGCCTCATTAAACAACTGAGGAAGGTGAGGCGCTGAACTTCAACTCGGCGCGGGGGCGGACGGAGGGCGGAGGGGTGGGCGCGCGTCGCTTGTTACCCCGCCCTTTGACGGGGATTATGCGACGTCTTGGCAGAGAAGTTGGAGACGCCCATGCAACTCGAGCTGTTCCATTGTCCCTGTCGGCGCAACTGACCTTGCTTTCCCAATGCCCTGTTGACCTCAACATCAGGACGCATACGCCGTTTCCTCTCGTAGGTTCCTCTGCACGAAAGTGGTAGACTGCCGACCCTACTGCCTCACCTGGCCTCTCCTCCGTCGTCCCAGAGCCGGCCCCGTCCTGTTCCATGTTTGCGTCTCCGGATTCATTGCTTCAGCGAATACCTCGCCGTCCTCATCATTCCATCGCAATCTCCAGAGCGTCGGTCTACACATATTTCACCTTCATTGTTCCAGAATCTTTTTCCAATGTGCAACATTCATATTTTTCAGTGTACCCTTAATCCCCAATTTTGTCCTTCACCCACCTCTGTACTCACAGTCCTCACCGTTCTGCCGATCCTTTTCAAACCATTGTCCACACATCATTCATCTTCATTGTCTCAGCAACATCCTCTCTCATCGCAACAGCCCTTTCAATACACGTTTCAATGTTCTCCCTTATCCGTGCCCCTACCATTGTTCCTAGACTCTTCCAAGACATTCCTACTTTTAAAACTCATACCATTTTCGAACCCCTAGCTCCCCCGAAAGTCCTCACAGCTAGTACTACCCGTTTCTCCCATCAACACAATCTCAAGACAACCAACGCTGTCGTCTTTCTCCTAAGAGCACGCGACTCGAAGTCTTGATCTCTTCACCATCCTCACTACATCTCATCTCCGTGCCCGTGACGTCTTTGTCGCCTGCATTTCCTGGCTCATCCCCTCTCCCCGCCACTAGCCCTGCTCCTCTTCCCCTAGCGGCTCCCGTCTGCGAATCGAATGCCGATATGCCGATATCAAACTCTGGAGAGACTTGTTACGGGGCGCATAGGACACTGGACTAGAATCTCAGAGCCAGCACATCTATTTGCTGATCCCACTTCACAGCGGATCTATTTGAGATTTACCTAATCTTGTCACAACCTCGCTTTGGAACTTCGCTTACTCAATTCACTGCAGATGACTCCAGGTATGGAAACGAACACATCGCTTAAACAAAATGTATTGCTTCGAGGATAAACAACATGAAACTATATTTATATGATAAATATTTTACAAAGAATGAATTTTTGAGAAATATTTACCTTACTTATAGCGAAAACGAATACTGACTCCTACATGCTTACTGGTTCAATACATAAAAGTTGGAACGACATTTTTTCACAAGCTTAGTTTCTTTCTATAGTAATCAGGGTATCAATTACCTCCCTGTGTTCCGTCTTTCCTAAAGTCGTTCTTTTCCTGAACATTACTTTAAAGCGACTATGGAAGAGTATCTTCAAATGGTGGCGGCTTTGGCTCTTTCTGTATCGAACAAAAATAGGATTTTAATCTATTGAAGAAGTGGATATTCAAACATTTCTTTCTATGGCCGATAGTGGACATTATTGAACACGTTGAATAGAACCTCCAGAGAGAGAGAGAGAGAGAGAGAGAGAGAGGGAGAGAGAGGGAGGGAGAGAGTAGAGATTTTAATGCGTCGCCGATATCGTTATTTTCTATCCTGTTGTGAGGAGAGTTAGAAATGTGGGATATTATGAGTTTTGGGAATCTATCCGAAATCAATATTAATATCCATAAAGCTTTTAATTATTATCCTTTCTCTTCACCTTCTGAATGCTGCGTAACGGGGCTTTCAGGTGAGAGGAAATTAAATGGGGGGGGGTTGCTATTCTCAGTGCATCTAGGGACTATATTTGCGAACATAGTGTGAACAAATATCTTCCACAAAATGAAACATAGTTATTCACGTAACGAAACGGCATTTTGATTTAATTTAATCTATTTTTTATTCAAATTCATTTATCAAAAGACTATATGATGGGTAGGTAATAACGTATATTAATTCGCTATTATTTATCCTTCTCAAACGTCTCTCTGTTCGAACCACATATTAGATCGAGAAAACCATGAAATTGTTCGCGTATGTACGTAACGGTACGTCGCAACATGTGCAATTGTCTTCATAATTCCGCGAAGTCGCAGGCTGGAAAATTCGAGCCGAAATCTTTATCTTTCGGTCGGCCATGCAGCACGGTCCTAGCCAGAAAGAGTTGAGAAGCCCTCATAAATACGGCTACCTCTATTAATTGCCAAACTCGTGCCCGAGTTAAGCAAAGCGACCCACAATTTGATCGTCGCTACGACTGCAGCAATCCACGCACTTACCAAAGAGCAGAATAAATTAAGAGATGCTACTGCGTTCACAAAACCTTAGAAGACAATATGTTTTCAAACGCAGCAGGAACAATAGGGATTTGTTAATGATTATTTCTCGGTTGATACGCCGTGGCCAAACATTATGCCATCAACACGATCTTTTGGCGTTGCCAACGTCCATCGCAGAAACATTTGGTCCACCAGCGCCAACTGGATCATGCCCTATTCGCCCGGAAATAATGATTAATATTGACTGAGGACGTGAAAGTCTTAGATGCTACACACGCTGGGTTTATTCTCCAGAGACAGGAGTGCAGCAACGAGCATCGGCAAAAACTCGCGCCGACCTTATCACAACGAATCCGGACACACTCACGCACGCGCGCGTGCGCACACACACACGCACGCACACGCACACATAAACACCCAGCATCTGGTTAGCGAGAGAATAGCCTATCAAACAGTCGCATTAAGCTGCGGCACAATAACGTCGAAGTGTAGTAGGAGAATTGTAGGTTTCCCGGATTCCAGGTCAGACACACAGCGACACTTTCCAGTTCGCCACACTTGGTCACACGTAGGCCCTTGGGAACTTAATTGTTTACTCATTGACACTTACGCGCAGAGAGGCGCTTAGGGACACGGTCGCGTGCCCGCGCCCAGTTCGCTTTCGTGGTTTGGCATTTCGCTCACTTTTACCAATCGACAGTGCGGATATACATTGTACAAGAGCTACAGCAATCGCAGGTTAGAATGCTCACTCTTGGGAATCAGTAGGACGTTGTACAGAAGTGTGTCACGTAAGTGGGGGGGGGGCATCTCACACTCTCGTTTCTATGTAGAACAATGCAATATCGATACTTGTACACACGTCGCTCAGTCCTGTATATCTCGATCATGCATGAAGTCAATAATCATTCCTGAATTCAATATATAAAGAGAAATTCTCGTATCACTGCAGAAATCCACTTTACAGACTAAACATCATAAAAATTGCAGTTTACACTAAAAAATACATTGTTAAAATGGGCTAATGTTGCACCCTCTGACGGCACATGTACGCGTCGATCAAAGAGATTGTATTAATATCTTTTAGCACGACAATTCACAGACATAACAGTTATTAAGAACTCAGTGCATTATCCAATATACAAACTCACCAATTTTTAATATCTTCTTTTCCAAAACGATACAAAGTTCAGCACGAGCTATTTTCATCTGAAATCAGAAAATACAAAGTTGTTATTACATAACCCGACACATTCCTACAATATACACTTTCCTATATTTTGTAAGAATCAATGAGTGAGCTTTATCCAACTAACAGCACATTAATTAAAATATTTTCTATTTCAAAACAGTCTGACGTAAGATCCCTGAACCTAACCAATATGCAATTTAATCATTAGATTAATGTTAATTTTAAGTGGTATTATCAAATGAGTTTGGTACATGATAACGTGCATGGAAGCACTATTTACAAAAATATTAATGTGCCTATAGAGTAGACATCAATAGCTACACATTTCCAAAAAAATGTTGTTTATTTGTTTTCCGTTCTTTAGATATACCTCCAAGTAGGCTCGAATATTAATCAGCTCTCGAAAGTAGCGGTCTGTAGTTATGAAAATGTATGTTTCAAGTTGCATGTCTTGTGTTGAACGCTAGTCATACGTAATATTTGTCTCATTACTCATTATTATTTTTTGGGGCATATTTTTTTTATATTACAAGTAAAAAAGTATTTCTCTATAGCGTTTTCTTCATATTTAAAGTACAATAAATTCACTTAGAGCGCGGAGCGAGGCGTGCATGCGCGGGGGCGAACGGGCTGGGAAACGAACGGCCGCGGGGGCGGCTAGTGCGCAGCAACGCAGAGGCGCGCGGGCGAGCAAGCGACTGGCGGAGGGCGGCGGGAAGGGAACCGACGGGCAAATTGGCGTGAACGGACCGGGTGAATTGAATGGAGGGGAAAGCCAACAGAGACGAAGAGGGCTAGGAATTCAGGGGCGGCCGGTGGCAGCAGGAGGGGGCGGGCACCGGAATCGACGGGGGCGTCTCTCCAGCCCCGCCTGCAAAGGTAGCTGAGAGGGCTGGGGCCGGCGGGCGGCGGTGGCGGCGGCGGCTGCAAAGGCGCCAAATGCGGAGGGCGGGGGGCGGGGGTGGGGGCGCTACGAGGCGCCACTTCCCGCGCAAGGGCTCCGAAAGAGGATAAATGTTTGCTCAGGGCGCAAGTCGCGTGTAAAATGCCCTTTCCACGGGGCGTAATGGCGGCGCGAGTGTTTGTTTGCTTGTATTTGCTCTTTCCCGCCCCGCGCCCCCGCCTCCAGCTACCTGGCGGCGCCGAAGGGAACGGGGGGGGGGAGGAAAGAGGCGAGAAGGGAAGGTGAGAGTGGGAGAGTGATCCGGCGTTTGGAACCTCTGCACCCGTCTCTCCGTTCTCTTCCAGGTGGATTCCCAACAATGCAAAACGTACACAGTTGCAATAACCACAAATAAATGAAAAATAGATTTTATCCAATTTTCTTTAGCTTATCTGATGTTTTAAAATGTAAACATTTCCATTTGCATCACATCTCACGTGTTAAATACGATCGTTCGCAATCATGGAATGTTTTCTTCTGTTTCTTCTATCGCAATTACGTCACGCTCACTTCCTCTACTTCCAATTCAGAACCTCCCTGTGTGTGAGGTTTCGCTTTGGTTTTCCTCGATGGTTTTCACTATTATGAGTGTGATTCCGAATCCGGAAATATCTTGCGACGTTACGATACCTCTTGACGCCATTTGTGATCCACAAACACGAACATATTAATGCAAACATAGAACATCTTTGTCGACGTTACTTTCACATTTTTTTATTTTTTATTCCCACCAGTGATTGTAGACTGTAGCATGGCAACACTTCCAGAATACTATAGTCTTAATGTAATTCCATTACTTTAATGAGCCCAATAATTATTTTTATATTTTTTCTAATTTTGCTACAAAATACTCCCCTCCTATGATTCGTCTCGCAACTAAATTTCCTTCTATAACTTTCAAACCCTTCATTCCCCCCTCTTCTCACGGCAGCGCACTTTTGATATTCCGTTATCTCCGTTATCTCCTCCGAAGCAGACTTCTGCCAACCCGTCGCATTTCGCTTTACCTTCGCCCGACGCCGCCACTCGCTCTATTCACTCAGTGCTGGGAAGCCTCGCACCCCACTTCCCACTTCGATCCCTGAAGAAACGGCGAAGGCGTTGACGGCAGAGGTATTGCAGAAAGATATGAAGAAAGAGGTGAATGCGGCGGAGGCGGAAGAAAAGGTGAAGGGAAAAATTAGAAGGAGAAGGCGACAGAGCGGGAGAAGGCAAGAGGGAGAAGGAGTCAGAAGAATCATAAAATACCAGGGAAAAGGAAGATGAGCAGGTGTCCTGAGGGCCTGTGTCAGAGAGAATTCAACAGCGGGAGCTGAATTCAGCGGAGAAGCATCTGACGCACGTTGGGTAATGGAGGATGGGTTGGAGAATCAGAAGAGGGGGTGGAGTGGAGGAGAAGGAGGTGGTGGTGGTGGAGGATGGCGGGGAGGAAGAGGGAAAGGCGGAGGAGGAAGAGAGGGTAGGGTATATACAGAGAAGGAAGAGGGGTTATACAGGATCCGGAGTAAGAAGAGGGAATGGGAGAAGAAGAGCAGATGGAGAATGGAGGAGAGGAGAGGAGAGGAGAAGGAGGAAGAAGATAGAGTGGAGGAAGAAGAGGATCAGATGGTGAATGGAGGAGAAAGAGGGGTTGTGGAGGAGCCGAAGGAAGAATATAATGGGGTGACGGAGGAATACGGAATGGAAGAGGAGGGGCAGAAGGGGTTTGGAGGTGGCGGTGGAGGTGGCAGAGGAGAAGGTGGCGACGGAAGGGCAGTGCGAGGAAAAGAAGCAGGCGTCGGAGGCGCCCTCTGAGCTGGCGTGCAAGCGTCTGCCGGCCGGGGGAGCGGGCGCGGGCGCGGCGGTATATTGCCCTTATTTTCATTACCTTTAATATCTTCCCGGGCGCTTCCTTTTCGACCTTCCATCTCCGTTTTATTCCCTTCATTTCCCGCGCCCCCGCCAAGCTTTTACGCTTCCCCGGC